CATAGGCGATGGTCATCGGTATAGGGTTACCGCAAAGTTCTATTTTCTGTTATTGGAAGCTGAAAATTTTGAACTAGACGCAATTTCTTCGCTGATGTCGCTGCGATAGTACTTTCGACTCGCTGAGATCAGTCAGGCATTGCAGGCTGCACATTTCCCAGGCTTATAGCCGTTCACTCAAAAACTCACCACTGTTTTACCTTAGCTGGGGTGAGAATGACTTCGTGGAACAAGCGGCAGCGCTTGGAGAAACATCGAGGGGTCAGCAAACTAAATGCATGCAAGAGCTATAGAATGTGTCGCTCTGGCTTAGACACTCAGTACATTCATGCACTGCTGCAAGAGCCGCGTAGACTGTACGTGTAGTGCCAGTGATGCATGCGCAGGTACGTAACAGCGATACTGAAAAAGAGTGCGCACTGGACGTGACAGTACACTGTCTGTACACATATGTAGAGTAAAAACTGTGACTAGCGACCACCCTTGGGCCTTGGGGCCAGAGAAAGCGGTCTTTAGTGGCAGGTGGTCCTTAGTTAGAGGTTTCCACCGCACAACCATAATTATCATGAATGTGAGACCGTCCGTGGCTGGCGATGCGGTCTGTAGTACCAGACTGTTCGCTACTCACGGTGGTCTTTAGTTACAGGTTTTACTGTAGTACCAGGCTGGTCGCTAGTCACGGTGGTCTTTAGTTACAGGTTTTACTGTAGTACTAGGCTGGTCGCTAGTCACGGTGGTCTTTAGTTACAGGTTTTACTGTAGTACCAGGTTGGTCGCTAGTCACGGTGGTCTTTAGTTACAGGTTTTACTGTAGTACCAGGCTGGTCGCTAGTCACGGTGGTCTTTAGTTACAGGTTTTACTGTAGTACCAGGCTGGTCGCTAGTCACGGTGGTCTTTAGTTACAGGTTTTACTGTAGTACCAGGTTGGTCGCTACTCACGGTGGTCTTTAGTTACAGGTTTTACTGTAGTACCAGGCTGTTCGCTAGTCACGGTGGTCTTTAGTTACAGGTTTTACTGTAGTACCAGGCTGGTCGCTAGTCACGGATGTCTTTAGTTACAGGTTTTACTGTAGTACCAGGCTGTTCGCTAGTCACGGTGGTCTTTAGTTACAGGTTTTACTGTAGTACCAGGCTGTTCGCTACTCACGGTGGTCTTTAGTTACAGGTTTTACTGTAGTACCAGGCTGTTCGCTAGTCACGGTGGTCTTTAGTTACAGGTTTTACTGTAGTACCAGGCTGTTCGCTACTCACGGTGGTCTTTAGTTACAGGTTTTACTGTAGTTACCTGCATGAGCAGGGACCACACAGCTAAAACAAATGGGCATGCCACGGCTAAAAAAAAAGTTCATTTCAAGATCGAAGTGATTGCGCCGATGGTAACCAAACGACCTGCAACGATCGTGTGTTTTTACTTCGCTGGTGGTGAAGTAGAGATCATTCAGAGCTAGCAGACGACAAGCATAGCAGCTCTTGTCCTGTGGAGAAATTCAAACCATTTGAGATGAGGCACGACCAACATACATGTACAACCTTCATAGAAATATTTCGGAACGATATTTTTGCGTCCATTGACATCAGCGACGAAGAGGCCTTCATCTCTGCGTGAAAACTCTCAGTCCAACCGTCCTGGAACATTACTCTAGACTTCAGACTATCATCCTGTGTAATAATCTTTGTATGGTTTAGCTTATGGAGTTGTCAGTAACAAGTGACAAGTCACTAGTCAAACTGCGACAATTTCGATGACGCAGAGGAAGTATCAGTAAGCTAAAGAGCAATCGATAGGTGAAAATACACGATCTTTTCAGCCCTAGTGATAATGATAACGATGTGCATACTTACAAGAAAGACATGGTCATCGATACGAATGGCAGTCTGGTCAGACTGTTGTTGTTGAGTTTTCTGCAATTGTGAAATACAACAGCAGCATGAGCCAGACTATGATTGGCAATGCACATGCAAATACTGTAAACGATGATTTTCCCGTTGACAAAAAATGGAATGAGAATCTAGAAAAGAACAGTTTTAGATCCCTCACTATCCACATGTTCAAAGCTCCTCCGCTTGCACAGTAAAACCTGATTTAAGCGGCCACCCCACGGTGCAAGAAAAAGCAGTCGTTAAAGCCAGCTGGTCTTTAGAACTAGGTCCCGGAACAGGTTCAGTGTAGAGCTGTCCGCGCATGGAAAAATGGTCATTAAGGTGGTGGCTAGAAGAAGAGATCGCTTACACTTGGTTTACTGTACTGCCATTGCTATCACATCAGGTGGACTACAGGCAAAAGAAATTGTGTGCATATCCCTTTGGGTACGAAGGACAAGTACATCCGTTTTCTAAGGTATAGCTGGATTCCTCAAGACGGGTACAGTCGAATGTCACTTATCCGACCACTTCGGGAATCAGGCATGTTGGATAACTGGATATGTTGGATAACTGATATCATTTTTATGTGCATAATATGGCTGGATTTCACTGATTTATGTACACAATACCCAAATATATTCATGCATATTCATGAATTGCTCCATGTACACATACATGTTAGCATACTTGACCACATCTACTTCAAGTAAATGCATATTACACCGATACAAAAACAAATTTTTTTTTCTTCGAATTTTACTGTTGAGAGTGATAAAATTACCACTCCCGGGCTTGTCAGATAACCGACGTGCTCGGATAACTGGCGACCGGATAAGTGACATTCGACTGTATATCCATTTTCAAATTTTCAGTTGGTGCTGCGCATATAGATCACTGTACAAATTGTCATAACTCCATTGTTCTTTCTCCAATTGATGTAGAGACGAAGGAGATAAGCGAGGCAGATAGATAGGAGATGAGTGAGGCAGATAGAAAGGAGATGAGTGGGACAGATAGATAGGAGACAAGACAAGAGGCGATCAATGTTGCAATCACAGGTGGAATCCTGATAATTCGAATATGGCATAATTCGAAAATACCACTTTAGAACTAGAAGTTTCTTCCAGGACTGTTTCCAATCAATACAATTTCAACACACCGTACTTCCCCACATATAAGCGCATGCGTTTTTAGCAAAAAATTGCTGCAAAAAAGATCTTTGGCTGTGTAAACATGTTCGGGTAGAAGCCCATGCGCTTATATGCGCAATACAGGTTTGTCTGTGTCCTAAACAATGGTGTCATCACACTACTTAGTGGTATATTTCGCTCCCGCCTTTTCCGTACCACTTTCTGATAATTCGAACCTCAAACTGGGTATGTCCTGTTAATTAGAAGTCCCACTGAGCCCACTTACAGTGAAGATGTGTGGGATTTATGCAGATAATTCAAAGCATAATTCAAAGTTCACTGTACATTATGCCAGCCAGTTCTGCTTGCGCGAGCAGGCATTTCAGTGTCTGCGGAATCTGTGTGTAAAGCGCAAGCATTTTGACTTGCATACCGTAAAAGTCCGTAAATAAGTACCTGCCCGAAATAAATACCCCTTTCATTTAGTGTTGAAACGAGCGTATCTATAACAAACGAGCGATCAGTTCCACTAACGAGCAAGCTATCGAGCGAGCTAACGAGTTTCATTGATGTGGCAAATATGATTATTTTTTTGAATATTTTTTTCTAAGTTCGATTTTTTTCAGCTGGTTCAAATTATCACCGCCGGCATTTGGGGTTGCTGCTGCTTCACTTCGGACTGCTGTTTGGTGTCGAGATGTCTTTTCAGCGCCGTCGTCGATTAGCCTTTGTAAGAATAGACCGTTTTGCAAAGATTGCAAGTAGCCCTGGTCTTCGCTGCATCGCGGGAGAAAACTTCCAAACGACTGAGCGTAACTTTCACTCGAATGGAGAGGTGACCGAAGCATATCCTGCGACAGGTCAGCAGATGCGGAGCAAGACATCAGTAGAGTCCACCAAAGCTGCAACGACAACTGAAACAACTCAAGTGTCGTGCAGGCATACAGTCACCTGTAACTGCGAGTGATTTTCACTTTGCGAGGGACTGGACTCTCGATCGACCAGGGAATCGTAAAATATTTTACGACTCCCCGGTCGACATGTACTGCCATGTGTACGGAGTACGGTGTACGGTGCTCGTTAGTGCAAACGAGCTGGCCGCACAAACGAGCCGAGTTTCTGGCGAGCGAGCTAACGAGTATCCGGTGAGATCGTTTCAACACTACTTTCATTATTTTGACTTTGTCTATTGAAGTCAAGTCAAGCCCGATAACCATACTGCCCGAAATAAGTACCGATATGGTGCGTACATGCAGCATGTAGCATGACTGTACATCTACATGAAGAATGACTTCTCCACTACACACAAGTCAGGTCCGAACGTTAGTTCGTGCCCGAAAGTCAGTACCTGCCCGAAAGTTAGTACGGGTGTGGCCACTAAATTCAAAAGTAAATACGTACTTATTTACGGACTTTTACGGTAATGTGTTGTAGGCACATGTTTGGATACTGTAAAACGGGTGACGTTTGCGACAATAAATGTTTGTGTTTTACAAATTGAGACTGGTTTGCGCTGTTTAATGTTTGCGAGTCATTCTACAGTCGTTCTACACAGTCGAGTCAGTCCTTGCACTGAACTTTACATGGCGCGAGTTTGCGTTGTTCACCGTTTGCGATTCGGGGCCTCCCGCAAAATTCGCAAACATTTTTACGTCGGAATAGTTACCCATTTCACAGTAATCAGACTGTCCGGATATAAATTAGAAGTTTTTCTCTGGCATTTTGAGATTCGAATTATCTGGATTCCGCCTGTATGTATCAGAATTCTACCCCCCCCCCCCCACACTGTTGACTTACAATGTTTGAAGTGCTCTCATACCCACGAATGTTGGCATAGGGATGGTTACGATAACATTGTGAGATATATCTCTGGAGGATATGAACACACATATATAACATATATAACTAAATAAGGTAAAGAATATAATTATTGCAATTGCAGTTGCATACAGTTATCAGGATTATTTGGGGCTCCAAAGGGTTAAAAGCGACAAGAGTTGTTCGCATCATGCTGAATCCGTGAAGTGTTCCCTACACAACTTTTTTTTATCTATTTTTTACAAGATAGCCACAAACCATCATGGTGCAAACGCCGGCAAAGACGCACAGAGATGCACATAGCGATGGCAGCCGGAGCAGTGGAGGCGGGGCAAGAGCAGCTAAACCGACTAGGCGTCTCGACATCATCACTGCTCATGCACAGCCAAACAGAAAGATACGATAATAGAAAAAAATGAGCTGGAGCACTACAGAACAAAATTTGGGAAATAAAGGTGGCAGCACAGTCATGCGATGTGTAGAATGGGAAGGAAAGTTGAGGTGAAGGTACACAAACTGGGATGGACGGTGAGTGTAGCGTGATGCGTACAGACAGCTTCCCTCTGTACACATTATACATACCAGGTTATGGCAGGCACTCGTCAGTTCGAGAGCTCCGTCTCAGTGTTCACACACGTACATGCGTGAACACCTTGCGACATATCATGTAGAATATGTGTGTGCGTGCATGTATGTGTGGCTGTATGTGTGCACTTGTGTATGTGTGCATGTCAGTACATGTGTGTGTGTATGTGCATTTGAGACGTCAGCACTTACATGGTCTTCAAGTATATGCTGTTTGTGAAGGCTAATGGTGATATGATTGCAATCTTGTTGTTCCGAAGGTATCTGCATTAGTCCACAAAGCCACACAATGCAGTTGAGACATGGTCTGGGTGCAAGATAACTCAAGCTTCTTGCAACAGAGTATGCATTCCTCCACGACCAGGGTCTGAACTCCCCAGATCCGGACGTCCCTAATCCGGGCACTTCCGTCTACCGGACACATTTATGACCCTCTAGAGTCATAAAAAATGGCTTTGAACGGAAAACGGCCCCAAACCAGTCATATGATTCTTTTTAACTATCACGGTTCGCGTGAGACTCGGCTGGAAGCCGTGTTTTCCGCATTCGTAGGAACACTATCACCCTCTAGGATCCAGGCGCAGATGCAGTGCCTAAACTGGGGGGGGGGGGGAGGTGGGGGGGGGGGAGTAGATCAGACCCACCACAAAGAGGTCAAAGACCGAGATCCCATTAGCTGTATCCATGTTTCTCTCGTGCCAGGCCACGAGTTCCCAATTAACTGCGGGTCGCAGTACGGCTGGAAACAATCCTTCCGCTTCCAAGCAGGACTTGAACATGGTACCCTCTGTTTCTCAATCATGGTCTTAGACCATCCCACTATGCCTGCCTGCCTGCCTAACCAGTCATATTGATCGGCATAAAATTATTACTTGCATGCAGTAAGAGAGCATCTCATAAGCTCACATTTATTTCTTCACGTAAGTTGTGTAACGTATTTCAAATAGACTCTACCCCCTACCCTACCCCCCCCCCCCTACCCCCCTACCCCCCCCCCCCTCCCTCCCTACCGGTTCTGGAGAGTTTCCCTGTACAATCCCCTTTGGAGGTCATGTGACAGCAGGGGCGTTACAGGTCGGTTGGGAGTGGTAGGACGGAAGGGCATCTGCGGATGTAACGACAATTCGTGAATAACGACAGAATTTCCATGCCCAGAGCAAAGTCCCATCCAACTGTAATACATATATTCAGTCTTTCTGGTACATAGCCAGCAATCGCATGTCATCACGTACATTGAAAATCAACATAATTTTGCGAATCGACCTTTTTTTTCAGGATCACTTTTCAACGAGGACGAAGCAAAGTCGGCCGAACGAAGCTTAGAGGAAGAAAATCACCCTCTCCACTTCACCATCACGATACTGACATAGATACGAGATGAAACAACTAAAAAATCCACAAGAAAACTCTACGGCCATCATCGCGCTGACTTTGGTCTGACTTTGGTCTGAGAATTCCTATCATGATCAAAAATGTACGAGGAGCACTCAAAAATAAGCCACAGACGTACCTTAATCGCTCTCTACTCCTTTTTCAAGGCACAAAAGTCGACTCTCCACTTTCAAACCAGGAACCAGACATACCAGTGGTCCTTTTCAGCTGCTCCACGAGCGCAGGAAATGTTCACCAAGGGGCGCAGAGCAGCATCCATTCCAGAAAAAGAGCTAAAATACGAGTGAGACCGCATGACTGAGTACATGAGTACATGTATGAGTACATGCAGAAAATAGTCAATTTAGGCGTTTCTGCTCCAAACAGCAACTAGCTTCGACTAGAAACAAAGATTACACCAAAGGATCAAACAACAACCATTTTCTGCAGTTTTTTTGCAGATGGCTTCCTTGTGCTTGGCCCAGCACGCCAAAAATCACACCTCGGAGGAGTACAAAAATTACAACTCTCAGATGTCCTCGATTGCTGGCCATGTAAGTAACAACACTTCGCGAATATGGACACTTTTCTGATGTATTGATGAGTGTGGTTATATGCAAAGTTCACTGCACTGTGCAAAGACAAACACTTAGGGCACATTTCACGGGTACTTCGAAGTACTAGATGCTTGTAATTCAGTTCGAAGAGTATGCACGACAAATGGTGTAGGAAAATATTTTTTTGTCCTCGAAAATTGATGATGGTGAAGAGTATGATCTTTGCTCTTTTTTTACCGCAAACAATGGGACGAGCTGACTCGACTTGTGTATTCCGTATCTATTCGTGCAGTATGAACCAATGGAAATAATATTCAGTTTAACCGCGGAAGAAGGAAAAATAGTGAAGAACACAATAATTATGATTCTACACAAGAGAGATTGGAAGCTGTGTCGCAACTCTGAGTTTCACGTATTACTACGATCATCAGGCAATCATGATTCTAACAAGTTTTTTTTGCAGTTTAATTCAATTTTTTATTGTTGATTATAGGAATAACCCCAAGGCAATTGTGACTACATCAAGGGGTGGCTTCAGACCAAGCATTTATTGTATATCCGAGGTTGGTATTCGCCTTGTTGATTGTATCTATGCTTAGGGTCCGGTGCAACTTACAGGCTCTCCAGGAATGTCATGCTACTGAAGGAATTGCTAGAGATCTCAGTCAGCTCATTGTGATCAACCCAACTGCGGAGAGGGAGGGAGAGAGAGAGAGAGAGAGAGAGAGAGAGAGAGAGAGAGAGAGAGAGAGAGAAAGAAAGAAAGAGAGAGAGAGAGAGAGAGAGAGAGAGAGAGGGATAGATAGAGAAAGACAATCCATATTCATGAAAATTGCAAGTCGTAAGACCGAAACTGGGTGTCATATTGCTAGTCAAAATATTCTTGCGGATGAACAACAGAGAGAAAGAGAGAGACAGTAATCGCATAATTCGATTCTTGTTTTTGTATTATGCTGGCCTACTCTCGGTGTCCTGTGTTTTGCTTCCCAGCAGCAGTGAGACCCGTCGGGTAATTGCCCAATACGGTTTGTTTAGATTAATTTTAATTCACCATAGCTGCAGGCAATGTCTTCCTTCTCACTGGGCGAATAGGAACAGTTCTCGAAAAAATAACCCTATACTGATATGGGATAGAGGGAAATGAAATCAATTTTCCTCTTTAAACTCGGATGGTGAGCCAGTATTATAAGTAAAGGAAAGGACCAATAAGTTACTAGCTATGACTAACAGTCCACCGTGCATCGTAGATGTGCTGGGGCTAGGTGTCAGGCCATCGAATGTCTCAATATCCTTGCCAGTTTTGTGCCTTCTTGCCGCACTATCTGACTGCAGAATATCTCGTTGCGTTATAGACTGTTAGTCAGAAGTAGTAGCATATTGGTCCCTTTCTCTTTAAATTTCCTCTTCATTCAGGTCATATTCATGTCATCATGAACAATGATGTCATCATGAACAATGATGTCATCATGAACAATGATGTCATCATGAAAAATGATGTCATCATGAACAATGATGTCATCATGAACAATGAAGAAGGATGTATACAACGAAGGAAAAATTGGAGAGATCGTATCCAACTTTTCGAAAGAGGAGTCACAACACCGACGTAATCCACACAGTCAAGAAAAAGCCAATCTAGAAATCTAATGTTTTCTTTCCTTTTTCATCACGGGTAAGTACCGGGAATAACGGAGAAATGTGAAATACAGCAACGTAGAGCGCTAAAGCAAAATCATAGATCGAAACCCCACATTATACGTATGAATTGGCCGGTGTTTCATCTGAGCCTTGAGATTTTGTAATAAATATAATAAAAAGGAGAAAGACAAAATGTTACGAGTTATGACTAACTGTCCACCAACATCACCAGATCGTATACAGTCAGCGAGTGCGACAAAATGGCACAAAATTGACAAAGGAGTACTGAGACATTCGGCGACCTGACACCTAGCTCCAACACTTCTCCAAGGCGCAAACCAACAACCTTCCAACTTGGAAGGCTCAGGTTCGGAAAGGTCCAAGAGGGATCTGGTTACGTTGGTGGACAGTTAGTCATAACTCGTAACATTTTGTCCTTCTCCTTTTTTTTACCAAAATTATATGGGCTCGCTATCATAATTATAATAAATTAATTCGAGAGAGCTTGGAAGCTCAGGGCCCTACGCTATGCTTTTTTCCTAGCTCATCATGCATGTTATTATAACTGATGGAACTTTCTCTTTGGCCCCAACATCGTTGCGGTCTTTTAGTGTTTTACGTCGACCATGACGGCTACAATATCCAACCATACCACAACGAACTGATCGGCTACATCATTGTATTTCAAAAAGTTTCCATCTGTTTGAATAACATGCATGATGAGCTAGGCAACAAAGCACAACGTAGGACCCTGAGCGAAAGAAACAAGCAGCTGCTCCGATAGCACTGCGCAATCAAAATAATTCTGAATTCAGGTTGTTCAACCTGCGCAAAGCCCAGATTCGAATGCTGAATGACCATGCATTCTTTCAGAAGTCTGCAGTCCGACGTGAGTCTGGTGGCTAAGGAAAGTTGTTCTAAGCGTTTTCATATCCATCGAAATCCGTTACGAATTTTTGTTAACGGAGGAAGTTTTTGTGGACCCTGGCTAGTGCCAGACGTTACTGCATTATCACCCCGCATGCATTCCCCCGATACACTTCGCATACATATATGCCAGGCCTGTACAGTCTCTCATTTCTTGGTGCTGACCGCTTTAATGCTATACATAATGCTACTATACATACTCATTCTGTTGATGGTACGGTACGGGACCATGGCCAGCAATCAAGGACATCTGAGAGTTGTAATTTTTGTACTCCTCCGAGGTGTGATTTTTGGCGTGCTGGGCCAAGCACAAGGAAGCCATCTGCAAAAAAACTGCAGAAAATGGTTGTTGTTTGATCCTTTGGTGTAATCTTTGTTTCTAGTCGAAGCTAGTTGCTGTTTGGAGCAGAAACGCTGAAATTGACTATTTTCTGCATGTACTCATACATGTACTCATGTACTCAGGCATGCAGTCTCACTCGTATTTTAGCTATTTTTCTGGAATGGATGCTGCTCTGCGCTCCTTGGTGAACATTTCCTGCGCTCATGGAGCAGCTGAAAAGGACCACTGGTATGTCTGGTTCCTGGTTTGAAAGTGGAGAGTCGACTTTTGTGCCTTGAAAAAGGAGTAGAGAGCGATAAAGGTACGTCTGTGGCTGATTTTTGAGTGCTCCTCGTACATTTTTGATTGTGATAGAAATTCTCAGACCAAAGTCAGCGCGATGATGGTTGTACAGTTTTCTTGTGAATTTTTTAGTTGTTTCATCTCGTATCTATGTCAGTATCGTGATGGTGAAGTGGAGAGGGTGATTTTCTTCCTCTAGGCTTCGTTCGGCCGACTTTGCTTCGTCCTCGTTGAAAAGTGATCCTGAAAAAAAGGTCGATTCGCAAAATTATGTTGATGTTCAATGTACGAGATGACATGCGATTGCTGGCTATGAGATACGGGATAGCGCCAGGCGTGACACAAACAAGCAAACAAACACGAAATTAAAGCTGTGTGGACCCTGGCTAGCGCCAGACGTTACTGAAGTACTGTAAAAGCCATTATTCTAACGAGGCGCATATAATGATTTCCCCAAATTGACTAGTTTACGTGTACCAAAGGTAACGATTCTCACTCATTCTCAACGCTCAATAGGACAGTGTATGTGTGGATTTCTGTATAACAATTTCTATGTTAACGACAGATTTCTCCTCGTTAACTCGTTAGAGTTAGCACTTCGTTATATAGATGGCTTTACAGTAACGTCTTCCGCATAGCTACGGGTGATAAATATAAATACATTTTTACTCGGATACTCAGCCAGTAATAAAATGCATGTAAAAGAAAGAGAAGAAAACACATGAGAACGAGTTACGCAGCAACTATCCACGACTGGTTAGCGCGCTGGAAATGTGTTATAGCTACAGTAAGTATCGTTTATAAAGTGACCGGATATAATGATATACCGGTTATAGTGATAGAACACGTCAAAATCAAAATCAAATCTGAAAAAATACAGCTAAAATATCACTATATACACTATTATCGGCTATACCGATATATCGCTTATTGTGATGGCCTTCAGGAAGCAAACCATATCAAATGTACAGGAAAATATCGCATATAATGATCAAGAGTGATCTTTCTGCATGCTCTTGTCCGTTTCTGGCTGTGTTGCCTCTCACGATGATGTTGCCAACTCACGTACACAGCCACTCATGTCTATTTCTGGCTCTACGCAACTCGTTGGACACCGAGTAGATCTACGATCTACGTGAGCACGGATCCAGCTCAGGCTTTTTTTGGAGAACACGCTGAAGAAGCAGCCATGCCACATGATGTATCGAAGTTCTAGTACATGTACAGTCTGTACTCGTACTGCACTGCCATGCACAGCTCTGTGTCATGCACCGGTACACAGTCCGCGGAGCATGCATGCACTTTCAGCATGCTTTTTCCAGCGTGTACGCATCATTTCATGTGCAGTCATGTGCCATGTGCCGGTCAAACATGCAAATCGGCTATAGTGATGCACCGGATATAGTGATACATTTTCGAAAATCAAAGGGGCACGTTATATCCGATATTTACTGTACATATACATGTAGGTATTGGGTTGCTGAATGTCTCAGTAGCCTGGCAGTTTTGTGAGCTATTATCGCACTTTCTTACTGTTTCTCATCTTGTTACAGTCGTGGATAGTTGCTGCATAACTCGTTCGCATATGTTTTTTAAATTTATTTTTACATAAAATATTCAGCAGAATATGATAGATGACTTACAATTCCAATATATTTGTTTTTCCCACTATGAATGGATGAGCACCGCCACCGCTTATCTTGTTGTGGGAAATATCCCTGGAAACAGGAATAGAACCATGGAAGATGCTTGCATGATGATGTCATGAACATGATGTCATTGTGATGTGATCACAGATCTTGTGCACTGATGATGCCAGCCGGCCAGTGACCAGGGAGCAAAGCTATTGACGGCACTGAGTGAGCAACTAGTGAGTGCATTCGGTGATGCCCGCGAATCGATTCATGAATCCATTTGTGAATCGATTCGCGCTATTCACACATCACCCCATGTGAATAGGATGAATGGATTCCGAATCGATTCCAGGGCTCATGACACAAAATCGAGCAGCAAGATTCCATTCATGAATTGATCCAAGGGCGTAATCGAAAGCACTCACTGCATCCGCCTTATGTCGCAGAGCAGTGACGTCACCATGACATCATCGGCAGGTTGGTAAAAATTAATTCTACAGGTCCTCCCTCGTTAGTAGATAATCTCTGGGCCATCAAAAAAGTAATCTTATAAAGAGACTTATCTTGTAGCAGGACTTGCAGCTAAAGGTGAAATAGGCACTACTTCGTACTTACTGGGGCTACCCTCGGTACAACATAAATTGTCGATGCTTCAACTCGTTATAAGATAATTGAAAATCTCCAACATAACTCTTCCTTGGATGCAAAGGATAGTCCATATTCACGAATACATAATCATACGTTTCCTCGTTCTGCTTTATCCTACATGTTTTGGCCTTGGTCCTGCATGGTCAATATCATCGATCTTATACTGAGGGTTTGGCACTCAAGGGACCTGGGCAAAGGGTCGTTATAACGGATTTTATGTACTAACGAATTATGTTGTAACCGGACCTGTAAACAGTTGTATAGACCATGTTTCGCCAGGGGATTTCAGATTTCTATTTACTAACGGGTAGGGGTGAAAGTTGGCACTGAGATCCCGAGTTCGAGTACTCTGATTTTCTCCAATCGAATATTCGAGTATTCGAGTATTCTTCATCTCCTAAAAATTGCACACCAAGGGCCTTAAAATCACATGATCCAACCCTGATTGAACCGAGTGGCAGTCATTTTTCTCGGGTATAGTGGTTGGTGGGTCATTTGGGCTCTCTCTACTCGTGAACAAATGTTCACCACATCGTCTGCACATCAATATCTGCCGACTGCTGCTCTGAAACCGCAGATTTCTGTGGTAAACGCATGTACCATGTATGAACGAGTACTCTGATTTATTCTGAGTACGATTATTTTTGAAAAAACCGAGCGAGTACTCGAGTATTCGGTATAATTGTTTCACCCCTACTTACGGGGTTTATGTACTAACCGGACTCGTTATAATGAGGGAGGACCTGTATCTAGAGATAATATTCACTAGTTTGAGGGAAAGAGACAAACGGGAAAAGTCTGAAGAAAAAATTGACTGTCACCACCAGGACTCGAACCAGGGACCCTCGCTTGTAGCTAGCGATGCTCTAACCGCTGAGCTATGGTGTAGTCTAGAGATCTAGAGATAAACAAGGATTTTGGAGACAGCAGTTTTAATGTAGCTACAAGGAGGTGTAATTGTACTGTAAGCATTTCCTATAATGTCAACATGAACAGTAGTGTGTAACATGTTGTACGATGATCGCAAGGCACACAAGGAAAGGGAATGAGAGGATTTGTTCAGAACATTAATGTGGAGATACCGTTCGTTACTTACATGGTCATGTTATAGTAAAAGAACTGAAGGGCGGTCAGCGGAATAGCTGTCAGCAGGTTGTGGTCCAGGAAGCTGCATACATAGGCAAACATTCACATAATTCAGGGTGGCAGTGGGTGCATTCGATTACTGCCATGAATCGATTTATGAATGGAATCTCTTCGTTTGATTTCATGCCATGAGGCCTGGAATCGGTCCAGAATCCATTCACCCTATACTCATTGGGTGGCGTGAATAGCCAGGGGCGATTCACGAATGGATTCATGAATCGATTCGCGGGCATAATCGAACGCACTCCGTGTGATGTGAATGTCACTGGGCCTCAATGCCAAGCCGGCCACGTCACAATGTTTGAATGAGGCAAGAAGGTGGGCAGATGCAAGTGAGAGCTACATTTACAAGCCGTTATGGTGTATAGGAAGGTAATAGCATTGGGCAAAGTTTCTCTCACATTTACCTCCTCCTCCCCCCCCCCCCCGAAACACACACACACATACACACACACACACATATACACGCACAGCACAATCTCTAGTTACATACGGGTGGCCCGGCGGAATCAGTCCGGCTGCAAAGGTCATGGCTGGACCAAACTTGTTCACCACCAATGCAAGTTTACTGGGGGGGGGGGGGGGAGGTTATCTATTGCCACCATACTTATCATACGCAAAGCATGACATGCTAGGCAGGGTATGGGCGGAACAACCAAAGACTCCATCCGCCGGTTCTGATACATGCATTGTGTATGCTGTGTCTGTGACTGCTGACGCTGCCTGAACATTCGGCTATGAAGGTCTGGGTTTTGTTTTGTTTCTGCTCTCGGCGATTTTAGACAAAAGCTGCCCAATGATGTGAAATACAATGTAGAGTCCATCCGTAAAAATTGAGCCATGACTCTGGCGAGCTCCCGTTTTCGGCAATTTTGTCGTGTGAATACATGGTGCAGTGTCGCGAAAATTTAATCTTGAAAAGGGGTCGAGAAAGGTTACCCAAACTGGGGTAGAGTGAGACGGCCCGGCTTTTCCTAATTCAGTGCTTTTGGAGCAAAACCTGGCCGAAATCCTATTTTTTTACTGTTTGCTTTTTGGAGGAATCGACTTCAGAAACATTATTAGAAGAGCATCCCATGGGGGCTTGCCAAAAACAAAACAAAAAGAACTTAAAGTTTAACCCATTTAAGTGGTCAAAGGCTAGAAGTACTACGGTCAATTCATAAAAAGACGAGTACTGCCGCTGGCGAGCTGCTGTGTTTGGCAATTTTTCGTGGTTTTATCATACACAGTGCAGTGCTGCGAAATTTGAGGTTAGAAAAAGGTACCTCAACTGGGGTTCGAACCGGACAATGCAGTGATGCAAGTGGAGTGAAACGGATTGGATTTTCATGGCCTTTTCCAATTCAGTGCTTACAAGACAAAACCTGGCCGAAATATTATTCTTGTTAGGGCCTGCTTTTCGCAGAAATGGATTTCGGAAACATAATTGGAAGAGAAAGTAATTCCATGCGGGATTGCGGAAAAAAATTGTGAAAACTCAAAATTTGACCCATCTATGGCCAAAAGCGAGGATATCATCTTTTTTTTCCGAATGGACTATAGTACATCTTTTCAAGAATGGACTGTAGAGGGCGTGATTGTGCATGGACACAATGAGAGCAGCCCAGATCTGCGTGCGGGGCACCAGTAAGGCGGTTTACTAGTACAATGTAAGTCAAATAACCGACGTTGAAGTTACACCCAAACATACGTTTCTATACAGTATGTCCTTTACTAGTTACTTACAATTCCTTGACGCCTCTTATCTTTTGAAAGGGGTAGGCTGCCAGAGGAGCACCTATCTTGTTGTGTGCGAGAGATCTGGACAGAAATCAGAGAAACAGCAAGTGGTGATCATATAGACACATTCCAGGGATGCAAGGCAGGAAGGGTGGTGATCATCCAGACACATTCCAGGGATGCAAGGCAGGAAGGGTGGCGATCATCCAGACACATTCCAGGGATGCAAGGCAGGAAGGGTGGTGATCATCCAGACACACTCCAGGGATGCAAGGCAGGTAAGGCATACAGGCCAGGCAGGATACTGCATAAAATGTAATGTTTCGATGTAGTAAAAATGTCGGTGTCAGGGATTCCAGGTGTATTGTATACTTAGGTGAGCAGCAATCCCTTCAAATACACACTGCGCATGCTCTTGTGCATTTCAGGTGTAATCTAAATTTAGGTGCCTGGTCTCTCCACCCAAATTACCGAAATAGAGTTAGAACGAAAACAATGTGTTATACAGTGTGCTCAATAGCCTTCACGCAAGCACGCTGTGGCCACTGCAGGCCCAAGCGCAAGCCGACCGGCCTGTGACTCCACTGACAGGTCACGTCCCAGCAGTCGCTGCAGACACCGCAGTCGCTGCAGTCACCCAGAATAAATCTGCGACAGTGGTGGTGACTTTTGGGATGGTTTTATACGAAAGGTGTTCGCTCCCCACACCGGAGCTCACGCTTTTCCACCCCCTCGACCCGAATTTTACGGCAAGAGGAATGATGATATCACGTGCTTCGTGATGTAGAATAATGCTTCCTGCCGCACGACATACTGCACACGATCGCGATCGTTCCTAAGGCGCTATTCGGAATGTTCCTCTTGCCGCAAAATTCAAAAACTACACACAAAACATCAGTCACTTTTGCATCAACTGTTGCACCGAAAATGTTCGTGGCGCAAGGAGAAGCTTGTCATTTGGAGTGACAAGTGATCACCGCTGCTGCTTTCCCTGTCAGAGTTAACAATACTTAAGAGAGCATGTCTGAGAATACCAAAGTATGTGTGCAAGTGGATCTCTCCGATTTCGCTCAAAATTTGCAGGTAGGTTCCCTTTGGGGTGTGGATCGATTATGCATAGCCCTTGAAAAAGTTTCTGAAGGGAACCTTGAAATTTGCATACCCCTCAAAAATGGCCGAAATATCACATTATTTATGGGTCTAGAAACGAGTCACACCACAGCGTATACGAACAAGCTATGAACAAAACTCCATCAAGCCAACATTGCCTCACCTTAGAAGAGTTCCTGGAGCAGTACCGCTTAGCCACGCCAGCATCCCAGAAGACGAGGTCCATCAACCCCTGACGCCACAAATGATCGTCTTGAAAATAGCCAATTTACAAGTGCTGGCAAAACAGCCAGCTACGTCCTCAATTGGCCAGAACTATACACCGGCAGATAGTAGAACACCTCTTCTAGCGCTGAGGACATGTCCCCCATCTTCCTTTTGGGGTTTTCTTGAAATAAACTTTTTTGAATTTTTCCACTCAACCATGCTGAAATACGGCCAAAGTCATACCTGCGCAGGAAAGCTCGCTACTCCGCGACGTCTCCTCAGCAATTTCTACTCCAACACTACTGCCAAGGCCGCAGAAGAAAGTGTAGTGTTGACTCTGACAAGGAAAAGCAGCGGTGATCACTTGTCACTCCAAACGACAAGCTTCTCCTTGCGCCACCAATAATTTTTTTGCGACTGTTGCTGCAAAAGTGACTGAAGGCCTGAGCGCAGTTTTTGAATTTTATTGCAAGATGCACAGTGAGATCGCGTGCTCTGTGACGTAGGATGACGCTTCCTGCATCACGTTACGCGGCCATCGATCGCGAATGTGCCTGGAACGCTACTCGGAACAGACCATGATGGCAGAGGTAAGATGAGTTCATTTCCTGCTTGAACTGCTGAGAACCCCCACAAACTGTCCTAGGAGTGTTGCAATGGCAGCAAGCCGTTGAAATATGCCCCGTACAGCATGGAGAGTTATTCGTCTTTCACACTTACCTCCTGCAATCCCGAACATAGTCCAACAGTAAAAGTCCCTTGTTTTCATGTCGATGCTCGACAAAAGCGACTAGCTCGGTCCCTTTGTGTTGACTGGCATGCGAGCAGCACTGGCTGCACGCACTTGTCGCGTGAACTGCATGAGAGATTTCTTACGTCATAAAGAATGTGATATCATCATTTCACTGGTCTTCGACCTACATGGTCAGGGAAAGTCCCGGTTCGTAGGCCTACAACACGGTCAGCGTGTTCTTGAGCGCCGTAACAACACAAGTGTGATCACTTCCAGACCAACGGGCGTTCAAGGCGAGTAACAAGCGCACTTGACAAAGGTGACTCTGAAATCTCGTGAGCCGTGGGCCACGCGACTTGGCATTCTTGCGTCGCAAGGCACGTGATTTCACCGTGCATCTTGCAATAAAATTCAAAAACTGCGCTCAGGCCTTCAGTCACTTTTGCAGCAACAGTCGCTCAAAAAATTATTGGTGGCGCAAGGAGAAGCTTGTCGTTTGGAGTGACAAGTGATCACCGCTGCTTTTCCTTGTCAGAGTCAACACTACACTTTCTTCTGCGGCCTTGGGAGTAGTGTTGGAGTAGAAATTGCTGAGGAGACGTCGCGGAGTGGCGAGCTTTCCTGCGCAGGTATGACTTTGGCCGTATTTCAGCATGGTCGAGTGGAAAGATTCAAAAAAGTTTATTTCAAGAAAACCCCAAAAGGAAGATGGGGGACATGTCCTCAGCGCTAGAAGAGGTGTTCTACTATCTGCCGGTGTATAGTTCTGGCCAATTGAGGACGTAGCTGGCTGTTTTGCCAGCGCTTGTAAATTGGCTATTTTCAAGACGATCATTTGTGGCGTCAGGGGGTGATGGACCTCGTCTTCTGGGATGCTGGCGTGGCTGAGCGGTACTGCTCCAGGAACTCTTCTAAGGTGAGGCAATGTTGGCTTGATGGAGTTTTGTTCATAGCTTGTTCGTATACGCTGTGGCGTGACTCGTTTCTAGACCCATAAATAATGTGATATTTCGGCCATTTTTGAGGGGTATGCAAATTTCAAGGTTCCCTTCAGAAACTTTTTCAAGGGCTTTGCATAATTGATCCACACCCCAAAGGGAACCTACCTGCAAATTTTGAGCGAAATCGGAGAGATCCACTTGCACACATACTTTGGTATTCTCAGACATGCTCTCTTAACACTTCTATGGTGAGGTAATGTTGGCTGATTGGCGAGTACTTACAATATTTGGATATGCCAAGAAAATGCAGCATTTAAGCTGTTCAGATTTACGTTGGCCAAATCTGTGAACAGGTTGTGATCAAGGTACCTGCAGAAGACAACAGACATGCATGGTGTGAGAAACCGGGTGAGAAAATTGGTTTTCCATAATCAAAATTTCGTACTTACATGTCAGGTAAGTGCCACTGGGTCGGGTTGACCTTAAGGCAAATCAGGGTCAAATTTTCTCAGAGTGCCTTGTTTCTGCATGACAGCCCAGGCAAGCAAGCAGGCTGCTATTACATGATGGACTGTATTTTATGGTATACCGTGGTGTGTTTTTATTAAAGGGAAAGTCCCATGAAACATTTAAAATTCAGGGTCCGTAGGGTTTGGAGCGCTGAGTCGTATGGTCGTAGTCCGAGGAGGCTGCGGGGCTATGGCTCGTCAGATACTGTAGCGTCGCGTGTAAAAGCATGACCTGTATAATTATATATTTTTTATTTATTTCACCTTCCCGTGGCCAGAAAATATAGGCCAATATGGAGGGAGGGAGGCGGTAGCCAGCCATGGCAGTAAACAAAAACAGAGCAACAATACATAAATATTACAAATCACTGGAGGCAAAGAGAAACAAATCTCGATGAAGAATTAGCAGTTACTAGAACACGATCTTCATGTTGGCCTTGAAATCATTTAGCGTACAAGACAATTTTACTGATAGAGGCAGGGCCAGCCAGAGAGAATAGGCAGCAAAAAACGGAGATCTGGTATAAGCTGATGTTCGGGCTTTTGGCGAAGTGCAGTGATTGCGCGTAGGACGAGTGGGAATAAACCAGTTATATTTACGCAAGTATGGCGGGCTTTGTCAAGACGATTAGAATGAACAACAATACACAGTTTTCGATCCACTTGACTAGAGATGGGGAAGGTGTTAAACATATCATACAGCTCGGCAGAAGGAAAGTATGATTGGTCCGCGTCAGCGATATTGTCGCTTATTTTTCAGCTTTGTTTATTATGTCGTCCAATGCTCACTCGGCAGCCCATATCATCCCAATTTTGGTTAGCATGTTAGTTTACTAGTACCAGAAAGGTCTAGCTAGATTTCGAGTGGATTTCGAGAGCGATGGGCGGGTGATTTTGATTGATACAGCGCCGCATCAAAATAGATGATCTTGTTACGCTGTGCAGGCAAGAGCAGCGCATGCCACAAGAAAGTAATCGGCTACTCGGAATCAGCTCCATTTTGCTGAACGGTCGAGATCGCTCACCTCAGGGATCGCTCGTCAAGCTGAGATTGCAGCTCCCTTACCCCCAGCTCAACGCCCGGAGTATCCAGCACGACAAGGAGATGTACAAGTACTGTACGCGTCGTCGTTCAAAATAAAATATTGCAACTTGAAGACCGGCGTCTGATTAGAACCACACAGGATGTCGTGCTGCCCAAGCGAAGTCCTATAGAGAAGGCAACCGTCACCATCGACTTCTCTTTAGAAAATAGCCAGGCAGCGGAGAGGAAGAGAGATGAGCTTGCAAAAGCAAGACAGTCGATCCCGAGCAAAAATATTTGTCACCAGGGCCAAGAGCCCTGGTGTGTGTGTGTGTGTGTGTGTGTGTGTGTGTGTGTGTGTGTGTGTGTGGGTGGGTGCGCGCGTGCGTGCATGCGTGTGTGCTCTTCACCTGTACGCCTATGTATTCGGAAACCGTGCTGTACCGCCCACTGTCCCATTTGTGAACGCTTCAGCTTCGTCTGCAAATGTCCAGGAATTGTAGATGTCCACACCAGGTCGGCCTATCCAAAGGAGGATATATGAGCATTGCTCTTTCGCCGCCTTTGCTGAGTACGGACCTCCGAAAATCAACTAATAAGGAGCAAGTAATGCACAACCAGTAGGTAAGTCCAAAACAAGAGAAGTCCCGAGCCAGTGAAGCACATCAAGGTTCTGGCCTACGGGAAACGGCCTGTGTGACGTACATACAGCATGCAACGCATACAGTCATAAGTGTACAGTAGTGTACGCATAATAGAGTCCAGATATTACGACATTAGGGTAACGCTACGTGTGACCTACAGTTCCACGAAATTAACCATTTTGTTCCAGACGCCATCCGGAATCACCGCCAGTCGGTTGTGTGAGAGTCTCCTGCAGCAGCAAGAAGGGACCAAAGAGGACCAGAGCACATCGTAAAGTGAAGACACAACCACAGATGCTCTTTAACGCTCTAGCCTGTACCAATCTGCTTTCCTTTCTTTCTTTCTATGAGAAATGGAGAGCAGACATGCTCTTTCCCTACCGCAAACTCACAACTCAGTCCACTGTTGACTGTTCTTTCACTCTTCTTTCTTCCATTGCATTTTTTCTAATGGAATGGCCTCTACTTGGCATTAAATTATGATACTTCCTGGTTTCCCAGCGTCATCGAAATTGTCGCAGCTTGACTAATGATATGAAAATGGGGTATTTACTGCAGCAGTCGTACACAAGGTAAGGGGTCGTCCGCAATTATCGAAAGTTTTTTTCCAATCCGTAGTAGCTTCGAAAGTGGGTGGGTGGGTCAAGGCCAGTTACGGATTGAAAAACTTCCGAAATGACACGTGCGCGTGCCACGTGTACGTCTACGTGTAGCCCCTGTTTTCCACGCGCGGCTGTGCACGAACTGTCTACTACAAATATTTTTGTAGTTCTGGCAGTTTCTGCGCCCCCGCGCGCGCTTCCTTGGCTGCTCCGGCCTGGGCCAGTGATCATAAAGTTCGGCGCATTCGACGGCGAGTCGACACTTTCTATTTTTGAGTTTCACTGTCTCCTTCGTCCAGAGTACCGTCTTCCATGCAATCCTTTGAAGTCCTTCCGTCTAGCGCTGGCGCTGACGACTGTTATTGACTATGTCCAGACAGGCGACGTTGTTTGGAAAGGCGGTGAAGAAGCAGCCCTTTTTCAAAACCGCTGGTGACTCTGACATGATGTTACTATGACTCATGGACCAGCACTGATTGAGTTTGTTCCATACATGTATGTGTTGGGTTGTGTGTCCATCAATAATATTTTATTACGGACTGGGGGGGTGGGTGGGTGGGTGAGGAAAAATTTGAAGCTACTACGGATTGGAAAAAACTTTCGATAATTGCGGACGACCCCTAAGGAATTGGACGTGGACAATAGTCTTTAGTCTTGAGTGACCTGACAATTTTTTTCCTGTTGATGGAAGCTGACATATTCGAGCTAGGCCCCATTTCCTCGCTGATGTTGCTGTGATGGTGGTTTCCACTAACAGCGATCAGTCAGGCGTAACCGCCTTCTCTTTTCTCTGGTCCATAGCCATCACGAAAAACACACTCATGGCTCCTATTGCCTGAGCAGGGTAAGGCTGGTGAGTTCGCCGAACAAGCTCCAGCGCTTGGATCACATTGAGAGGATATTGAGGGGGGGGGGGGAGAGGAGGAGCAAACAGCAAGCAAGAGTGATACCTCGAGACACCTGTACAACGTAGTGATGACACTCGAAGGCACGGCCATGGCGTACCGGTGATGCTGAAAAGAAGGCACGCTTGACGTGCTGCTACAATGTGCTGGTATAAGTGTGGTCAGGGAGCACACCTGATGCTGGCCAGTTCGGCTGCATGCACACTGGCCTGCATGATACTGTACAATCTTCGAGCTAAAATCAATGAAGGGCATTGGGCATTCCACGGCTAAACAATTGTCATTGCAAGATGGAGGTGACTCCGCAGGCAGCGCCAATCTCGCGTCGACCTGGTATTCTTTGCCAACGTGCTGAGTACGGGGTGAAGTAGAATGTCAAGGACATCGTCGGGGTTGTAGAGTGCCTGAACATTTGTATTAAGCGGAATGCATAGAAATCGCTTGGCGACCTGGGTGGATTCGCTCAAGGAAAGAGGATTATCCTTTTGGACGATTGTAGAAACAGTTATTCCCACCACAGCCGAACTGACCGTGATTAATCAGCCAGAGCAGGGAACAAGCAAAGCAGCTCTTGTCCCGTGGAAAAGCGTGTGAGACTGGGCGCGACTAAGTTACAACCTTCCTGGAAATTTGCGGAACAAGATTGTTCCGTTCATTGACATCAGCGACGACAAGGCCTTCAGCTCCGCGTGGAACTCTCAGTTCAACTGAATGTAGTCCTGGGACGTTACTCTAGATGTCAGACTATCTTCCTGAGCAATATTTTTCGTATCTTCTAGATTTGTAGCTTATGTTTTTATCAGTAACAAGTGACAAGTCCCTAGTCAAGCTGCGACAATTTCGATGACGCGGAGGAAGTATGCTGTTATTATTAAGTTCATTGCTTCTTTTTAGGGCTGACACGAATGCTCAATGAAGTGAACGAATATTCTTTTTCTGAATACATGTGAAACGAAGAATATTCCGAATATTCTAAACCATGCGATATCCAAGCACCCTGTAAGCCTTTGAACTGACACCCAACACCAGGTAACTAGCTCCTGTGCATTCTTCCTAACATGCAGATGTCCCGGTGTAAGAAGGGCACCGCTATTGGCTACTAATTTCACATCTGTCCGACTAAGTGGAAGTGCGGTGTAAAAATAATAGAAAAACAATAATTTCACGGTTTGCGTCAGATTGGGCTAGAGGCCGAGTTTTCCGCATCCGCCATGGGAACGCCACCGCCCTTCAAGGATCAAGGCGCAGATGCAGCTCCTAAAGCGGTGGGAGGTGAGGAGACCTGACCCACTAAAGTGGTCAAAGACCGAAAATACCCATCACTGCATCCATGTGCGTTGCAAGCCTAACCTTATTCACTTCAATACTCAACTCAGTCTTTTGCTCACTGAGCAATACAATCTTTTCATTTTCTTTCTTCTGTTTTCTTTTTCAACTTAATCCTCCCTCGTGAGTGTTGTGAACCCTCTGGTTCTCTTAGGTATCAGGAACGAACGACCCCACACGGCACGAGGACAACTATTTATTCTCAACAGTATATTTCACTTCCATAGACTAATAACAATGAACAATGAATGAACAACTGAATGAACAACTGAATGAACAACTGAATAAAGAATTCAAATTCAAAATTCAAAAACAACAACAACAACAACAACAACAAGAAATCTGCTCACTGCTGATTAACTCAATCTGCTCCTGCAGCGCTCACCTTCTTCCATACTTGTAAAGTTCAAAGTGATGTAAATCACTTTCTAACTGTTTAACCCACAATCTCACCTTCTCATAAATTTATCTCTTATTGGCGATGGTGCCATCGTGAGAATAAAGAATTCAAACTGAATGAACAACTGAAACTAACACTAAAACCACCAGGTAGTTATAGCGTGAAAATGACAGCGTATATGAGAAAAGCATACACATACAACATACAACTACAGCGCACACAGCAAACCGCACATAGCGCCTGTAGCGTATACTACGCCGTAAACATCAACGGTACGGCGGAGTCGGGATACAACTGCATTGGAACGAACACAATGTCACAAGCGAGAAGGCCTTTCACTCTCGAGAACTTGTAGTTTCACAACATTCTCCCCACCAAAGGGCTTCTCACCGCCGTACAACAACTCACAAGTCAAACGATTTGGGGCTTACTACGCGTCATCTGCTGCTGCGGTGGTGGCCATGGTAGAATATCACTAATGCCCACCACTTCAGACAACTCGACATCGCGAAGCTCGCCGCTGTGGGCTGTCGCACACGACACTGTCACCGATCCACTTCGACATGGGGCAGACGCTGGACCAGACAACACACAACCGATAATGTCATAAAGCTCGACGATGTGGGCTGTCACACACGACATGGTCACCGGTACACAGCTTCGACCCGGGGCAGGCGCGGAATCCGAGGACACACATCGGATCTCTGTGTTCCACACAGTCTCGCCGCTTACTTCTTCCGTGCTAACCAGTAGTATCGCCCTTCTCATTTTCTCGGCTTCTACGCTTTGCGTTTCAAAGTCTTGCGCCTCAAACTCTTGCGCCTCCAACTCTTGCGCCTCCAACTCTTGCGCCTCCAACTCTTGCGCCTCCAACTCTTGCGCCTCCAACTCTTGCGCCTCTACGTCGTTCGGCCGAGACTCCAGCTGCTTCTGAGCGTCTCCAACCGATGTCACCATGCACTGTACCGACCCAGTGGGCCTTGGATCTGATCCTCCCACTGGCTTCGAATACTCCTCTGACCGCTGCTTGTCTGTAAGCAAAGTCTTCCACGCCTTGTCCGGCGTCCTTTCGCGTGTGGCAAGCAAATCTCGCTTTGCTCCCTCATATGTACTGCTGGCGATGCGCTCGTCCATCTTCTTCAAGTTCTTGAGCTTTTCGTCAAAATCTGGGCGGAGCGCACCCTCTTGCCGTCTAGCACTGCGCTCTTCAAACTCCTCGCACTGTCGGAGCCTCTTCTCCACGTATTCTCTCAACCTATCGCCTTCAAATCCATACCGAATTCCGCTAGCGATAAAGCTGGCTTCAATGATCCATAGTTCCTGTGCCATGCTCGCTTCGTATCCTGGCGTGGTCGCCAAATGTTGTGAACCCTCTGGTTCTCTTAAGTATCAGGAACGAACGACCCCACACGGCACGAGGACAACTATTTATTCTCAACAGTATATTCCACTTCCATCGACTAATAACAATGAACAATGAATGACTGAACAACAACTGAACAACTAACACTAAAACCACCAGGTAGTTATAGCGTGAAAATGACAGCGTATATGAGAAAAGCATACACATACAACATACAACTACAGCGCGCACAGCAAACCGCACATAGCGCCTGTAGCGTATGCCACGTCGTAAACATCAGCGGTACGGCGGAGTCGGGATACAGCTGCATTGAAACGAACACAATGTCACAAGCGAGAAGGCCTTTCACTCTCGAGAGCTTGTCGTTTCACAACATTCTCCCCACCAAAGGGCTTCTCACCGCCGTACAACAACTCACAAATCAAACGATTTGGGGCTTACTACGCTTCATCTGCTGCTGCGGTGGTGGCCATGGCAGAATATCACTAATGCCCACCAATTCAGAAAACTCGACATCGCGAAGCTTGCCGCTGTGGACTGTCGCACACGACACTGTCACCGATCCACTTCGACATGGGGCAGACGCTGGACCAGACAACACACCACCGATAATGTCATAATGCTCGACGATGTGGGCTGTCACACACGACATGGTCACCGGTACACTGCTTCGACCCGGGGCGGGCGCGGAATCCGAGGACACACATCGGATCTCTGTGTTCCACACAGTCTCGCCGCTTACTTCTTCCGTGCTAACCAGCATCGCCCTTCTCGTTTCCTTATCTTCTACGCCTTGCGCTTTTATGTCTTGCGCCTCTAACTCTTGCACCTCTAACTCTTGCGCCTCTAACTCTTGCGCCTCTAACTCTTGCGCCTCTAACTCTTGCGCCTCTAACTCTTGCGCCTCTAACTCTTGCGCCTCCAACTCTTGCGCCTCCAACTCTTGCGCCTCTACGACTTGCGCCTCTACGCCTTGCGCCTCTACGTCTTGCGCCTCTACGTCTTGCGCCTCTACGTCTTGCGCCTCTACGTCTTGCGCTTCTACGTCTTGCGCTTCTTCGTCTTGCGCTTCTACGTCGTTCGGCCGAGACTCCAGCTGCTTCTGAGCGTCTCCGACCGATGTTGCCACGCTCTGTACCGACGCAGTGGGCCTTGGATCTGATCCTCCCACTGGCTTCAAGCACTCTTCTGACCGCTGCTTGTCTGTAAGCAAAGTCTTACACGCCTTGTCCGGCGTCCTTCCGGGCGAGGCAAGCAAATCTCGCTTTGCTTCCTCATAATATGTACTGACGGCGATGCGCTCGGCCATCTTCTTGAGCTTTTCGTTAAACTCTGCGCGGAGCGCACACTCTTGCCGTCTAGCACTGCGCTCTTCAAACTCCTCGCTCTGTCGGAGCCTCTTCTCCACGTATTCTCTCAACCTATCGCCTTCAAATCCATACCGAATTCCGTTGGCGATAAAGCTGGCTTCGATGATCCATAGTTCCTAAGCCATGCTCGCTTCGTATCCTGGAGTGGTCGCCAAAATGTTGTGAACCCTCTGGTTCTCTTAGGTAGCAGGAACGAACGACCCCACACGGCACGAGGACAACTATTTATTCTCAACAGTATATTTCACTTCCATTGACTAATACCAATGAACAATGAATGAACAACTGAATGAACAACTGAATGAACAACTGAATGAACAACTGAAACTAACACTAAAACCACCAGGTAGTTATAGCGTGAAAATGACAGCGTATATGAGAAAAGCATACACATACAACATACAACTACAGCGCACACAGCAAACCGTACATAGCGCATGTAGCGTATACTACGCCGTAAACATCAACGGTACGGCGGAGTCGGGATACAACTGCATTGGAACGAACACAATGTCACAAGCGAGAAGGCCTTTCACTCTCGAGAACTTGTGGTTTCACAACAGTGAGTGTGATTGCTCTGGTAGACCACTACCCCGTGTACTGAACAGTCGCTTTGTGAGTGAAAAAAGTAGATTTTTGTAGAAAATAAAGAAGAAGAAAATAGCGGGCCCTCCATGTTCGTACTACAATATGGTGGCCTGGGTGTAAGCCAACTCGCCTTTCCCAGCGTGATTTCCAGTCTAGCCCAGGCCTCGTCTCGAATGTCTGTGTTCGTAGTGGGATGTGTGTAAACACTTACAAATTCTGCACTGTATGGCTAAATGCATCACTGCTGATGGAGGAGATCTTGTTATGTTCCAAATACCTGAAGATGACAACAGAACGGCAAAGAGAAAATTGATTGAGGTCATGAGCATCGATTGAAAGAGCTTTCAATAGAGTTAATAGACCCTTTGCACAATAACGGTCACGTGATCCGAGACCGGGCATCCTCTTCAATTTTTGTGCAGAGTATCAGTTGTTGAGCATGGTGGAACACTGTATTTTTCCATTTTGGAGATGGAGGAGAGAGTGTCGAGTGGCTTGCCATCGATGGCTGTGGAACCCGTGGACAAATTGTCAAATGAAGATTGGTCTGTGAAGGAACTGAACAGTTTTCTGCTGAATGAGGGTGCGTATCTGTCTGGAAAAAGAAGGAGTTGTTGGAGGGGTAAGTTTTCCGCATTCAGTGAATATTTCGGATTACACAACAGAACAATTCGGATTACTGTAGATTGAAATTTATTTTTTTCTTCTTTACCTTCTCTCCTCTGTCGATGTAGAGAACACTTCTCTATGCAGAACCCTGATGCTCCTAGAACTAAGAAGGGCACCACTTCTTGAGTGTACCTTCATCATGCCCAACATTTCTTGCGTCCCAGTGGATGAGTGACGAACCTCTGTTTCCCAGAGTGAGTACACACCCGCATGCTTGCTCGTCTCCAACGCAGGGGCAAGTCGCCGACGACAGTGAAGAGGGAGCTGATGGAGTAGTACTAGTGAAGAAGCCCGTGGATAGTGTTCATGAGTTTTACTTTGGTGGCTATGTGCATAATGTGAAAGTCTGTCAAATCGTGCACACAGCCACAGCTCGAACTCAGATGACTTTCTCCACACACATGAGCGATGAGGCTGCGTCTCTCTTTCCACTTCAACATCAGCAGCCCGAGCAGCGCCAGCAAGCTGTCGATCTTCCTTGAATAGCGAAGATAGGGATGGGTCATGCCTTTTTTCTCAAGCTCCAGAGTCTCTTGGCGGGGCGTTCCATATCTTCGCAAAAGCAAGGATGAAAGCCGACATGGACAAGGTGTTCCGAGCCCAACACTGTGAACGATATCGCAGCACTGCGGCCCTCTGCTCGCCAGATAGCCAGGATTCCAGAGTGTAGAATGCCAGCATCACTGGGGAACGCATGGAAAGACAAGTGGGTTCCTTAGACTAACGTTAGGGATGACGGTTGCTGCAAACAAGAACCCAACAGTGGTCCTTGGAAAGCATTTTCGGAACTTCTTCCTTCAGAACTAAAAAACTTCAAATGAAAAAAGGCTGGAGAGTACATACATGAACATCGCGTGGGAACCGTGAAAACACAGCCTGTCACAGGAAACTTGATCACGTCCTGCAGCAAACCATGCATGCAGGTTGCATGCCAAGTGTGCAGCGCGTGCACAACATGCCCCGTCTCGACCCCTCTCGCTTATTGTGCAAAGGGTCTATCCTACCACCTCCTACACGCGCGTAACTCGTCGCTTTTCGTTGTGTACCACAAGGCTGCAAGGTCTGACCTACATATAGCTCCTGCCGGGGAGCTGATTACCTTGCCAAGTTGAGCAAGAGTGCACACCTCTTCACGCGGACCACGTGTATGGCATGAAGAGCTCACTGCGGCGTACCGTGGACTACGTAGCCCTTTTGGAGGAAACCTGCAGCTATGTTGGGAAAAGCTACAACACAGCAACACAGCTGCGCTACCCGCATGCTGCAATGCAACTCAGCCCGCCGGACCAAGAGCAGCATATCGAGACGATTGCTTATAGCACCCCTACACGCACCTATGTTAACTTTCAAACCCTCCCTGAACTTGTTTGCACCCTTACCCCTTGTATCAATATGTGATAGAATTTTCCCTCATTGCTGCGTTGTTCCATTGATTGTCTCCCCCTTTCTTGACAATAATTATATTCCCTTGTTGGCTTATTTGCAATTCATTGTGGTGATTCTATTGAAATTCTAGGTATGAAACAGATGCACCGAAAGTACCGAAAATAGAAGTATGCCGAAAATATTTGTGAAATTCCAGTACTCAAGAGCTCCCTAAGCCAGGTCACAAGTGACCCGGAGTTTCTTTCTTTCAAATGGGTCGAAGTGCCCCCCCCCCCCCCCCCCACTGGGTCTCTTAACCCTGCTAACCGGGCTCTGGAGCATGCAATGAGTAACACTGCCAGCTTTCGTACCAGCCATTATGCTCAACTTACACGTTTCTCAGTCTAGTAGAGCCGGTGAATGCATTCGACGGAACAACTTCCAGCGAATTGTGCGACAGATGGCTGCGAAAACACAACGTGACACAGTCAGAGCACAACTGACTAGATAACAGACAAGCAGGTGAAATCTCTAAAATGGGAAACGCCCTCAAAAAGAGCAAAGCCCTCAAAGGGTAATGCCCCCGAAAAGGGAAAGCCCAAGGCAGAGAAAGCCCTAGAAAGGGGAAAGCCCTAGAAAGGGGAAAGCCCTGAAACTGAGGTCTGGCAGCAGTCTGGATGGTTAGCCCTTTCAATGCCAAGGACGAGATAACTTGTCCTGAAACAACCACCCTGAATGGCCAAGGGCGAGATAACTCGTCATCCACACGGAGCATATAGAAACAAACATCGACCACTGCACAAACAGCTATAACTTCGCCCTCCCTAATTCTAAGTCAACATAATAATCATTATGAATGCTCATTGGAAAGCTATTGAATGCAGCTTTCCAATGATGTATCATTCGATATAGCACGAAGTAAGATACTCAAGCGCCGAAGCTCGAAGTCCGAGAAACGGGTGCAGTTGAAATTTCAAGCGTGTAACTGAGACGAACTTCATTCTAAAGTTGACAAGATGTTTTATTACGTGGGAATGTCCGCAGTGCACAGCCCATGCGTCACTTACACCAAAAAGAGCGCTAGAACAGCCTGATTCAGCAGGTGTTAGAGTCATCGCTGTATGTTGAGTGTGGGCTGCAAATCGAAAGAAATTGTCGGTGAGTGTAGAATAATACTCATAAAAAGGACAAACTTCAGGCTCATTACAAACATCTTGAAAGTTTTCGTCTTCACAAGTATACTTTCAAGCCTTCTCATCAGGTGAAATACAGGCAAGGGAAAAGGAACAGGAACAGTGGATTAAATACAGTAAGAAGGTGGTAAAACAGCGCAAAAAGAAAGAAAGAAAGAAAGAAGATAGCTAAAGTAAACAGCGAAAATTGCAATAATGACACAAAGGTGCAAATGCGAGAAAACTCAATAAGCGCGACATGTAGTGCGACAACAAGAGACAACCACTGGACATACATGTAACTAACGAGGTTTTGACGACCTACCTAACAGCCTAAGTGTGAATTTGATTTGTTTCTGCTTGCAAAGGTTGGGTTTCCTTGTGTGGATGTATACAGCTTCCAAAACATTCAGGTTTTTTTTAGGCTGTTAGGTAGGTCGTCAAAACCTCGTTAGTTACATGTATGTCCAGTGGTTGTCTCTTGTTGTCGCACTACATGTCGCGCTTATTGAGTTTTCTCGCATTTGCACCTTTGTGTCATTATTGCAATTTTCGCTGTTTACTTTAGCTATCTTCTTTCTTTCTTTCTTTCTTTTTGCGCTGTTTTACCACCTTCTTACTGTATTTAATCCACTGTTCCTGTTCCTTTTCCCTTGCCTGTATTTCACCTGATGAGAAGGCTTGAAAGTATACTTGTGAAGACGAAAACTTTCAAGATGTTTGTAATGAGCCTGAAGTGTGTCCTTTTTATGAGTATTATCGCATTTTTGTCTCAGAGGAAACTGAGTGTAGAATAGCGCTACAAAAGCACATCGGAGCGGCTTTCGTAGTGTTTGTAGGCCGTTCTCCTGTGCCTACAGAGCACTGAGCACAATGGATCGGCAGGGGTGATCCTCAGCTTTCCAGAGAGCCTAAGATGATGAACACCCGGTACTGGTGAGTGAAATGGCTATAATTTCTAGTGCCCATCGTGAACATAGCATGTAGTGCCAGCGTGCATGCTCGCCAGCCGTGTGGCAAGCACTCTGGCACTGAAAGGGTTACCTGCTCTTGTCATTTGCAGAATACACTGGCTCGACGTTGTCAAGAGATGCATGATACTCATGATTTGATTGCCAGTCAATGTCCACGACGACCAAATATCACCGGACACCTATTTTGCTCAAGGTTGGCTCCTTTTATCCCTGGGTTGACATTATTCACGTGCTATGATTGTTTGGCTCAGAGACCCTCGGTTCCTCGGATATCGGGCAAAGTCCAACTAATCGACAAAATAAACTCTGAAACAATGTACAAGAATGATGGGTGACTACTGCTTACAAGAACACAGCTCAGCCAGACCAACTATGTTCGCGCACCGATCCAAGTTACGTCGTAATGTTTAGCCATCCAACTGTCGACTGACGACTTGCTGGGTCTCTTGAACAAATCAATCAATTCAGCCCGTCCAATGACGGCCATTACGCAAGCCATATTTACGGGCCAGTACCAGCGAGTATACGTCCTGATATTTGGGGTGCTCACCATCATAGTACGCTGCAACATGTCCCCAGCATCAACTAGTGGTCTTGTAAAGAGTTTGTCCCTTAAATATCACCCGGGAAGAATTCTTGGACTCACAAATGCCCATGAACTGGCCAGCTGCGTTGTGGTTTGGCGAGCAGTAGTGACCACTCGTTATTGCACCTTTATTTTCAGTGCATGTTTCAGTCGATTTTTTGCTTTTCCCAATGTACAAGGAGCTGAGGGTCTCTGGACCAAACTTTCAAAGTGGGCGAATGAGGTCCACCCAGGGATAATAGGAGCTAACTTTGAGCAAAATCGAACAATTTGACCATCTCCGTTGATATTTGGCCGTGAGAGACACTGACTTTAAGTAAGAATAAGAAGAACTTTGGTTTGATTCAGAAACTATCATTGATCTCTTGGTGTACATACAACAGATGCTGTACTTGGAGACATTTCAAATTTACTCACATGGTTTGAATAAATTTGGAATAGTTATGGAAGTAGTGCGGTTCTAAAATGGAGATGTTATTGTATGATAGATCCCTGCAACGTGTGCACCAGTGACAAGGACAACAGACACAAACAAGAATAAGAGACACAGACAAGAATAACAGACAGAAACACAAGAAAAACATACACACACACACACACACAAGAACAACATACACACACACACACACACACACACACACACACACACACACACACACACACACACACACACACACACACACACAAGAACAACAGACACATACACACGAACAACATACACACAAGAACAACAGACACATACACACGAACAACATACACACACGCAAGAACAACAGACACACACATAGACACACACACACACACACACAAACACATACAGTTTAGCCTGAAACGACACCTGGTGGCCAAGCACAAAACATGCACTGAAGCCTCCGAGGCCACCGTCAGTAAAGGTATGCATCTCTTCCACCCAAAAATTGAATTTAACTGTCACCGCTCGCGTGGAACTCAGTAAGACCGAGTTTCCTGCATCCGTGTGAACACCACTAACCTGCACAGATTAAGGTGCCAATATAGCGCCTAAAGTGATGGGAGGTGGATAGATCTGCAGACCTGAGAGCCACTGCCTCACAGTCCCTGTTCCGCAGTCACATTTGGCTGCACTTCTCTGGCACCAAGCTCAGTTTCTTTGGGAAATCCTCAAATATAATATATACTGTAAATATACAAATTTTCGGCAGCTATTTAATTTCGGCTATATTCGGCACCGACCCAAAACGCCTAAATTAAAACGCCGATGAAATTTTTCACAGCATCTGTCGCACTATACCATGCCCTCTACCCAGTACCCCACGCCGAAAATAAATCGCCGCCGAAATGTCAAAAATCGTGAAGTGCCGAAATTTTGCAGCGCCGAAATTTTGTATATTTACAGTATTTAAATATTATTAGAAAGGAAAAGGACATATGAAAACGAGTTAAGAGTAACTCTCCACCACTGTAACTAGATACTATATACAGTCGGAAAGTGCAACAACTACGCGCAAAACTGACAGAGTACTGAGACATTCGTTTTCATATGTCCTTTTCCTTTCTACTTTTATTATTGGCTCAATACCCGAGTTGCAAATATTTTAATTACTTAAAAATATTTTTTAATCAGACCCACACTGTGGTCAAAGTGGTCAAAGACCAAAAATCGCACTCTACATGCACGTTTCCCTCGCCAGGAGTTCCTAAATTGACTAAGGGTTGTGGCACGGTAGGATAACTCCTTCCACTTCCAAGCAGCACTTGAATCTGATACCCTCTGTATCTCAACCATGGTCTCAGACCAACCCACTGTGTCTGCTTGAATTAGAGAACTGGACACTGGAGTCCCCAGCCGCTAGTCTATTTTATTCATACCGCATCCTCGTGCCGTGTGGTCGTTCGTTCCTGACACTTAAGAGAATCAGAGGGTGCACAACACTCTCTCCCTCCCTCCCTCCTTCCCTCCCCCTCATGCATGCACGCACGCACGCACGCACACACACACGCATATATGAGCTACCTTAATGTCTGCGGTGCCTCCTTTGCGCCATGGCTGGTAGCTCGGCCTATTTAGCTCGTAGCTGTACTGATGAGGCCTTTATGGCCGAAACAGCTTGCTGTCTACAGCATTGGGTATCACGCTTCTCGGCTTTTGCCTTGTTGAGCACTCTCAGTAGGCTGCTCTAGTGCTGCTGCATTGCGCAATGCCCGCTACATTTTGTAGTTTGAGCACTCTGGCGCTAGAGCGACGAGCTACCTTAATGTCTGTGGTGCCTCCTTTGCACCATGGCTGGTAGCTCGGCCTATTTAGCTCGTAGCTGTACTGATGAGGCTTTTATGGCCGAAACAGCTTGCTGTCTACAGCATTGGATATGCGCGTGCATGCGCACACACACTCACAAACATACAAACATGCGCACACACACACACACACACACACACAAATGCACCCCCCCCCCCCCCAACACACACATACACACCATGTACCATGTACAATGTATCATGTATACGCCAGTCGCAAGAGAAGCATGCAAATCTGCCAATGCACTGGATGTGCACCCACAGATTTTCTCTAATAGCAACGATAGCGGACAAGATCTGAATGAGACAGATCAAGACTTGTGCCAGATAACTGTCCAATCCACACAACTGGTCTACACCACATGGAGTACATCAGCATAAAACGGCCAAGACAGTTACCTATGCACACCCTACACTTGCTGGGGTGACCGGTATAGACAGCACGCTGCTTTGATAGAAGCAGGCCCTAGATGCACTGGTACCTTGAAGTGAAATTGGAGTTACTTTACCAACCAGCCTCGGCTACTGAGACACAAACACACACACACACACACACACACACACACACACACA